GCCTTGTTACAATTAAACATTTCCCGTTGTTCCTGCAGAGTTGAACCTGCTTCGGAATGTTGATGCCAACAACCCAGAGAGCAGCACAACAGTGAAGAGCTCCAGCTTGCTAAGTGGCTTCAGAGGTGGCTCCAGTTACAACCATGAAACTGAAACCATCTTTGCATTGCCAAGGATGCAGCTGGATTTTAAATCTATCCATGTTCAAGAGCCCCAAGAGCCTTCGCTACAAGGTGCAGTAAACATAATTTGTTTTTCTTGGTCTAAAACTATTTCTCACTAATGAGGAGTTAAATGCAAGGGTAATGTGCTGGTAAGAGAAGACAATTTATTCTGAGAATTATTGTAGATCTGCAAGAAAGGATAAAATTTCATGTGGAGGGACATTTCATTTTATGTTTCTACATAAAACGTAGAGGGAATTCTGTTGAGAGAGTGAAGATCTCGTCCAGAGACCGGTGACTATAGACTAAAACTTAGTGAGAGAATTGATATGAACATTTGAGCTGGATTGGCTGTGCCTAGGGGGTTGGTTTTCTTATATTTATTAAAATCTTAGAGAAGAGGGCTGTTCTCAAAAAGGGAATACGAGATAGGAGCCTAAATTTTATGCTCTTGTTTTCAAAGTAGTATCTTCAGATTTCACATCTTTAAATGATTTGTATTCAAATTCTATGTACTTTTACATATACCATATGTGCTTGTAAGTGTATTAATACTATTTTTATCTGACTGTAGATACAAGTGTTAAACCAAAGGTGGAATGCAGTGTAGTAACTGAATTTACAGACCACATCTGTGTAACTATGGATGCTGAATTGATCATGTTTCTGCATGACTTGGTGTCTGCTTATCTAAAAGAAAAAGAAAAAGGTGAGTTGTTTTATGAGGTAACACTTCTCTGACAATCTGCAGTTGTCAGATTATTTGACAGTAAATATAGTCTGTCATAATCTTGCTCCTATTTTGATACCCAGTGTTTATTTTAACTTTCTTTTTGGTATAGACAAATGGCAAACTGTTTTAGGAAGCTTTATTATTTTTATTGTAATCCTTTCACCAGTGGAGTCCTTTCAAGACATGCATTTTTCTGACCTCAGAATGCTTTATTTTTATACATAAATATGTTCAGTTGCAGCATTCAAATTTGGTGTGTTCATTCTTAAATAATATGTGGTCTTCACCAGAAATTCTGTAAAACTAAAACACGAAGTGGTTCTCTTTTTTTGAGATTTGTGCCTTTGTTTTATTTAAATTCAAAGAGAATTCAACTGAGCTGCTTGAGACTGACTAGTGTGGGGTTTTTCCTATCTCCACTTTGCAGCAATTTTTCCTCCTCGCATTTTGGCTGCTCGACCAGGGCAGAAGAACTCAGTTGGTGTTCTGGAGGACAGCTCTACTGACAAGGAGGCAGAGGAAAGCATTACTTACACTACAGTCGACTGGAGAGAATTTATGTGCAATACTTGGCATTTGGAACCCACACTCAGGTAATAAGCTGCTTTATCTGCAGTCTCTTTGGCTATGCATTAACTTCTAGATTAGAATTTATGCAGATTAAGGATATTGTTGAAGGCTCTTCAAAATTAGGATACAGGAAACTTAAACTCATTAATTTCACTTTGTCCTACAGTAGCCCATTCACTTTCAGCCATGCAGTTTTTCATCTTGAAGTTTTCCATTTTTAGCATTCCAGTTTTAGTTTTTAAACACCTTAAAATAAAAAAAGCATAATATAATCGTTGCTATATGGCACTTTAAACTTAACACAAAAGAACAGTGGGAATGGCAGCAACTCACTACTCTCTGTATATAATCACTAAAACTGACTTTTCTCTGTGTGGGTTTTGTTTGGTTTTTTTTTAACCTGTGCTGGAGCCACCTGAGTGTTCATTCACATATAAAAACAACACATCAGGCCAAACAAATCTTGACAATTGGCATTTTGTGTTAGCAGTAGTAGTAAATCAATTTAAACATGATCGCAGGCAGCCCAGTCTGGTTTTTCACCTCCTTGAACATCCTCTTCCTTCGAGAGGATGTTCTATTGATCATCTTGAGCTTATCTGTATAAATCAAGTTTGTATAAAACAATGCATGTTGGACTTAAGTTGGTTGTAAGTAACGGTGGGAAAAATTGATTTTTGTTTATACAAATGCCTTTTGCTATATTTATATATTTGAGATTGAGTCCTCTGTTTATTTTGGGTTTTTTAGATTAATATCCTGGACTGGGAGAAAAATTGATCCTGTTGGTGTTGACTACATCCTCCAAAAGCTGGGCTTTCACCATGCAAGGACTACTATCCCTAAATGGCTGCAGCGTGGTGTCATGGATCCTTTGGACAAAGTTTTGTCAGTCCTTATAAAGAAACTTGGTACTGCACTACAGGATGAAAAGGAAAAGAAAGGAAAAGACAAAGAAGAATATTAAAAATACAATGTGACAACCGTAACTCCGTTTGATTTTATCAAAGTGTTTTATTATATTTTAAGAACTTAAATATGGTTTAAAGAGAAACCTAACAGCTTTTTGCTACTCTATTTAAAACTTACATTGTGAGTAACTGTTTACTGTGGTACTTGATACCATTCTGTATTTGAAGTTATTGCATGATGATGATGACCAATGTACATTCTGTGAAGGAATAGCTGGAACACTGTAAATCTGCTCCTCAGCATCCGTTTTATTATGTGCAATATGATCCTGCATCTTTACAATACTTGCAGATTAACTGTGAATTTTCTTAAAAGTTTTATTTGCCATAACACAAACCCCTTGTTGATGTGACCAGTAATTGATTTGTCAATGTAGACTGGTGTAAATTATATATATATATATATATATATATAACTTATGAAACTGTGATTGCCTTAGTGCTAAAAATCATGAAGTTTATTACACTTGTAATAAAATTTAACTACTGTACAGGACTTTATTTTTTTTTTCAGTGAAGAAAGGGGAACAACAAGAAGAGAGTGTTTTAAGTGTAACTTTGCACAGAATGTGATTTAAGTGAGGTAAATCCCAATCCTGGCCGTGTGCCAGGAGCTTTCTTGGAAAGCAGCCAGGACGTGTGGCCCCAACCATAAAAAAAAAGCTGGATTTGTTTACCCCATGTGCAACAAGCCAATAGTTACACACTCAAGAGAGACACTGATTATTTATTTCAGAGGTGCCCAAGCCTGGGTGCTCGGTGGTATTCCATAAATCAATCATGCCAACTATCAAAACTTTTTTCATTCATGGCTAGGCTTCGCGAACGAAGATTTGGGAAGGGCTCTACCCATTTTTCATGCAAGCGCGTTGATGGCTAAAAAGGCCAATACGAGAAAGGCAAGTCCGGTTGCAAAAGACACAGCAGAAAGACTCCTTAGATGGTATATTCTGCAAGGTTCGATTCTTTCTGCGTTGTCTTTTCTCCTCAAGAGTGATCCTGCGTGCCTTCTCAAAAGCATCAGCAGCGTTATAAATGGTCTGTCTCCAGGCCTCCCGATTAGAGGCCAGAGTGGACCAGTTATGGTGATCAATATGCCCGAGGCTGAGTTGTTGCTTCAGGGAGTCCTTGTATCTTTTCTTTGGAGCTCCTCTCTTGCGGCAGCCAGTGGCAAGTTCACCATAGAGCAGGATCTTAGGGAGGCGGTGGTCCTTCATCCTAGAGATGTGCCCTGCCCAACGCAGTTGCGTTCTCAGGAGCATGGCCTCAATACTCGTAATTGCTGCCTGTTCGAGAACAGATGTATTGGTCACATAGTCTGACCAATGGATGTTAAGGATTGTACGGAGGCAGCGTTGATGGAAGCGTTCTAGGAGACGCAGGTGGTGGCGGTAGATGACCCATGATTCGGAACCATATAAAAGAGTAGACAGCACTATGGCTCTGTAAACACTGATCTTGGTGCTTTTCTTCAAGTGTTTATTACGCCAAACTCGTTTATGGAGTTTTCCAAAAGCACTGTATGCCTTCGCTAACCTATTGTCTATCTCCCCATCAGTCTTACCATCTGAGGAGATGAGGCTGCCTAGGTAATTAAACTGTTGGACTGAACTGAGTTCTGACTGGCCGATGGTGATGTGGGGACGGTGGGGGACTTCCTGAGGTGCAGGCTGATGGAGAACTTCTGTCTTCTTTAAGCTGACTTCCAGCCCAAAGAGCTCAGCAGCCTCTGCAAAGCAGGATGTTAAACGCTGCAAAACTTTTTACTATTTATACATTTTATCAAACAAAGGAATTAGTGTTCCTTGGCTACAAGTTACATAGTTCTCTTACTAATTAGTATTCTCTCTTCTATTGGTTAATTATTCTGTCGCTTGTCACGCTAATTAGTCCGCATGCTCAGTCTTTCTCTTCTTTTGACTTTCGAGTTAATGAGTTTCTTGGGCCAGTGGTCTGTGAGTCGGTGGTCATGATCTGCCCATGCTGGAATTACCTTTTACCCAGCTGGGGCAGATTTCACTACACTTGCTGATAAATTCTGCATTCTTTGTGCCCACTACCACTGGTACATCCTTCTCCCCCGGCTTTGTTAACCTCCGCCTAGGTCTGAGACGATCGAAGCATGCCCCGCCCCAAACCTTAATAAGGCAATTCTACCAACAAGTGATTTGTTTTTCTGACACCTGGACAGCACTTTGAGCCTGTTAGCTGCTGTTGCACGGACTGCATCCCCCTTCTCGTCGATTAGGCTTGAATGTATACACAGATCAAACTTTAAAGAACACGCCTTTATCAAGACAATGTTACATATGCCGCGCCCTGCAAGAGCAGCCCCGCGCTCCCCTCAGCCCCTCCCTCAGCCCCCCTCACCTCGGCCGCTCCCCGTCGGCAGGAGCTGCCCCTCACGAAATGGCGGGAGGGGCTGCGCAGCGGCGTCCCCGCCTCTAAAGCGCCGCCGGGCACAGGTGCTGTCAGGGCCGTCTGTGAGGTACCGTGAGGGCTCCTGGGCTGGCCGAACCCACCGCCTCAGGGGCGGTCTGAGGTGCCGTGAGGGCTCCTGGGCGGGCCGAACCCACCGCCTCAGGGCGGCAGGGACCTCCCTCCGCCGCGCCCCAACCCTCGTTTCCCTTCAGGCGCGCTCCGGCTGCCCGCCGGGTGCAGGCGCTGAGGAACCACCCACAGCGGGACGGGCCCGGCAGGTGAGGGTGTTCTCCGAGTTAAAGGAGGGGCGCAGGTACAAAACCCTTGAACTCGTCCTGGAAATTTCAGAGGGATCTGCTTCGCTGCATTCGTGGTTTGCCGGTTGAGGGTTTGGTGTGTCCTTCGAGCTGGTTGCGTGAGGGAAGGTGGTTAACTAAAGGGTGGAGTGGCTTCCAGCCTGGTGGTGCCGGCTGGGAAGGGAGGGTTTGGAGGGACACCGGGTCAGGGAAGGAAGGGGTTGGAAGGACACCAGATCTGGGTTCTGTCCCAGCCTGTGGGGGGCAGAGCACGAGTTGTTTGTAGTGCTCTTGCGAAGCAGCTCAACTAGGAAAGCTGCAGTTTGCGGGGTGCCTTTACCACTCACAGCTTTACTGTGAAAGTTCCTTAGGTTGGTAGAAAATGGCGAGCAGCAATGGCTGGTTTCAGGGTGCTGGGATGCCCGCCTTTGACCCCGCACCAAAGAGGATTTTGCCACCTGAGGCTTTCAGGCAGCCAGTTCGGAAGACACTCTCGGAGCCCGTGACTGCAGGGCTGAATCCTCCACCTTCTCAGTGGCGCAGTCAACCAGTGGTGATGCAAAATCCAGGTAGAGCTTTCAATTATAAACTAGGATTAGCTGCAAATGGTGTCGCAACCCCCTGCTGCTTTTTCTTATCACTGTGTTTGCTTTAATGACTTTTTTAGCATCTCCTCCTACTTGTTCCTCTTCTTGCGACGTTTTAGCGCGCTGGAAGTTGGCTACTGATTTGTTGTAGGCTTTTGTAGTTTGTCTATAGTCTGCAGCATTTCATAATTATGAAGTTCAAGTTAGACATTGAAAGTACTGTAGAGGTATAGGCTGTGTTTTGGCAATGTTCTGTTGCATGAGTTTTAGTAGATATCGTTGAGAAAACTGCAGTTCCAGATATCCCAGGATGTATTTTGAATTCCATCACTTCGAATAGCTGTATTGAGATAAAGGCACCTCTTTATGAGACTTGTAAACAAGGATTTGTTTTAGTTCTTCTTGAGTGGGAGGTACTTGTGCCTGAGTATATCACACTCTTGAAGCTGGTGATTCTATCCATCTAGTGGTTGGTGAAACTTTTACAGTGTCTTACAGCAGGGAGTTCTGCTGCATAGTGAGGTGTGAAAAACCACAGGCTCCGCTGTTTTGAATCTGCCATCAGCAACTTCTGTTGGATCACTGCTTTAGAAGAGTGGAGAGGGGGATATAGGTTGTGTTTATTTATAATACCTGTCTATATTCAGAGGTTGCTGGATTTACTACTCGGAGGAAAAGCTTTGATGCTTTTAAAAGAGGATATGCATACCATTTCAGAATTACTGATGATGTTAATGTAGGATTCTGTACAAAGCAATAGTGCTCTACAGTACATCTTGTTGCTTTTTGTTCTTCTAAGAAGCGTCTGAAAAGCATTTATTGCAAACAGATTTAAGCTGTCAGAGAGTGTGTTCAGTTCTCAGTTTTGTTTAATAACCTTTTCTTTTTAAAGGGGCACACAAACCACCATTGTCAGCACTTCCTTCACAGAACCAGCTAAAGGAGTTGATTGCAAAATATAAAGAGGGAGCAATAAACTCAGTATCTGCCTTGCATCAGTTTGCCCAAATGCATAACAAGCAACTTGAATTGAAAGAAACTAGTTTGGCAGGTAAATATTTCTTTTCCTAAATAAAGTATTACCTGCTTATCCTTGAGATTATCTGAATTTCTGCAGTTAGTATTGGTGGCACTAGTACAGATGATTTTTTTTTTATTGTTGATTGCACTACCCTTCACATACGTTGCTTTCTGGCTGCCCTTTTATTGTCTACACAGCTGTATCTCATGATTAAGTGCCACAGAATTTGATCAGGTGAATTATATAAAATTCTGGCTGCTACCAGAACTCTGTGAAATGTGCATAACGTGAAAACCGCCAAAATTCTCATGGAGGTGAAAGATATGAATTGTGTTTTGCCAAAATTGGTTTTTTTTCTCTTGTATTTGTTCTAGGCATTAATATAAGGGCATAAAGCTATGGATAAATTATCTTAAAATAAATTCAGTAATTGTGGCTGCTTTTTTTCCTCCTTTAAAGGTGATATCATAAGGCCTTATTTTGCCTTTTGTGCTGTGATAAATGGTGTTTCCTACAAGACTGGGCTGGGAAAAAACAAGAAGGAATCTAAATTAAATGCAGCTAAACTGGCTCTTGCTGAGCTACTTAGCTTGGAGAATACAGGGGCAAACTCATCTGAAGATTCAGGTAAATATTCTAGTAACACCTAATTACTAATGGCCTAAAGGTTTCCTATGTAAAACCTCTGTGGGTTTATTAAATGCTTGAGCATCAGGGCCTTTGTCAGGTTTTTTGAATCCTTTGGGTACATGTCTTTTGATTCTGAATCTGTTTTTTTCCCTTGTCATTCGTGTATTATCAGTTGGTAGTACAGAGCCAAGAATACTGAAGGAATTACTTGTTGTTTCACTTGATTTGCTACTCACTAGGTACAGCAACATGAAGTATATCTCAAGTGTTGAATTTTTGTGATTATAAGGGTTCCCCACTGATGTACTGCTTTAAAGAGAATTCAGTTACTATACTGTTTATCTTCTTTCAAGGTTCGTTGTCTAAAAAGTCGTAAGTTTACAAGGACTTCAGATAGAAAAGGAAATTCTTAGGGAACTAGAAACTTTGACTTGCTGGAAGTAAGTGTGAGATTCATGTTTAGAAATTAGCAATGTCCATCCCACTTCAAAATTTTCTTAAATTCTTAGATTTTCCTTGTGTTCCTGCCGAGCTCCAAACTCCAGCAAACTCTGCTTGTGTTTCAAGGGCCTCTGTTGGTAAGGAATGATCTTGTTGTTCTCTGTTGATTCAAATTACCTAGCAGATCCTTTCTTTAATTCCTCTTCTAATACATTTAGTGATCTCTGTATGGTACTGTTATTTTAAACATCTCTTTGAAGAAAGCTGTAAGAATTAGTGTCACTAGGTCGGTTCCATAAATGGAAACTTCATTAAATTGCTTGAATTTAGGTGGTAAACTGATGACAGAAATAAACAGTATAAATAAAAAGTATTTCTGTCCTTACTTGAACTAGTGTGCAATAGGTGATCAAAATTGATCAATATACTGCCTTATTATAATGAATGATAAAAGCATAAAGTGCTTAGGTATTCTTGAACTTATTTTTTAATCCTGATAATTTTCAGAATCCCAAAAGTATGTGTTGATAGTAGTGCTTACACCTTGTGTTCAGGTTTATAATTTGTCAAGTGGTTGCTCATGTCTGGTTTTTTCCCCCCCACTTGCAAATATGTCTTACTGGTTTCTGCTGTTTTATTTAGGAGGATGGTCTGTATATCCAAAACTTTCACAAACACTGGAAGAAGTGTTTACCAAGCTGACTGCCCAACATCCCGAGTACCAAAGCTGTGGGAGTTCACTGGCTGCCTTCATCATCGAAAAAGGCAAGTCTGTTTTGACTGTGAGCTTTGGGGAGCGGGAAACCTGGGCTGTGCCCAGAGAGCAGCTTGGTGGGCACCTGGCAGCCAGAGCAGGTGAACCTCCCACAATGCCTCTTCTTATAGGTGGGCAGCACGAAGTTGTGGCTCTGGGAACAGGGGAATGTAATTACAGCCGGCGCCTCGAGTCCTGTGGCAGAGTGTTGCACGACAGCCACGCCATTGTCACTGCCAGGCGCTCCCTGCTTAGGTGAGGAGGTGCCTGCAAATAGTGTCCTTGCAGCCAGTTCTTCTCAGTTTTACTTTGGCACTTGCATTTTGTGGCTAGTATCTTCTGGATTGTTTTTGAATCATGTGAATTAAATGTGTCTATGTATTAATAAGCAGAGGAGTTTTTTTCACGTTTACTGTTACTTAACGCTTTCTTTTAGATATTTCTATAGGCATCTCTTGCTGTTCTATAATAAAAATCCAGCAAAGTCGGAGAGATCCATATTTTGTACAGCACCAGGCTCGAAACTGCTCACCCTAAAGCAAAATACAACTCTCTCTCTCTACATGAACCAACTTCCAAAAGGAACTGCTCAGTTAAAGTCAGATGTGTAAGTACCATGGTTTTCTGAGATGTTGTAGTGAAAGATTCAGGACGAGCTTTTGTTTATTACAGATAACTATGTGCCCCCTTCTCATACAGTTAAAATACTCATAAATCATGAATTTAACCACTGATCAAGTGGATGTGATGACTTAATGTCATCCTTTGCACCACAAGATTAGAGTACAAAAAGGCTTGAATTGAAACCAAAGTCTACTGCTGTGCTTTGTAGATAAAAGGTAATGAGAGAACCCTGATGGGACAAACACACTCCTATGCTTATCTTTACACTTCTAACTTTTGTTAAATTTCTGAAAGTTTGGGATTTTTTTGGAATGGTTTTGATATTTAACAGCAGCAATCATTGGTTTACCAAGTTATGGGCAACATTATTTCATGTCTCCTTTTATTGGTAGGGTAATGTCATACTATCTTAACTTTTTCATACATACATCCAGGTAGTTGCTTTCATGCTGAATTTGGGGGATTGGGAAGGCAGACTTGTGACCTGGAAATCACAACCAGTTCATTGCAGGAGCTCCTTCTGTTAGAACTGCAGGAGGTTTTAGGTGACTTTCAGTGTTGTAACTCCTGCACAGACTTGGTTGATGAGACTGGATGCATTTGTAAACTACCCTGAAATACTTGATGGGTCACAGGTTCACCACTGTCTCTTTTTGCCCCTTCTGGTGTGTCCTGTCTTGAGACAAACTCAGAGAAGTATTTTCTTCTAATATGATGGGTTGGCTTATGTACAGAGTTATTTAAAGATATTTTTTAGGAGGGAGTTACTTGCAAGTAATGCATTGAGGAGCAAAATGTGGCTGCTTACTAACAGGTGGTATGTTACTTAAGCCAAAATTAAGCATTTGTTCTCTAATAATGTATTAGATATCACTTTACAGTAGTCTCTAATCAGAGTGCTTTCTCACTGAAAGCCATTCTCATCTTACTGTAGACATCTTGGTCCACAATCTGTATCTGCTTACGAAGCCAGTGAAGAATTGAGTCTCCATGTTGCTCTGGAAGGCAGGATTTACCTGGCTGTTTGTTGTCCTCCTAAAACTGTCAGAGTGAGCAGCATGTCAGGCAGTGACAAACTGACAAAGTGGGAGGTGGTTGGTCTTCAGGGAGCCTTGCTGAGTCACTTCATTGAACCAGTGTATATCAACAATATTCTTGTGGGTAAGTTTAACGCAAATTTCAGTGGGGTCTTTGTATGTTTGATTAACATTTTATAAACCATTAACTAAACCACATGATTCTCTAAAGAATTACAGTGTTTTTCTGAAAAGGTACTAAGGGTATATGTATTTTTTACTCATCTTTGAAATGCCCTAATGTAAAACTCAGACATTGTGGGTTTCTTGTAGCTTGCCAGATTGCCAGCCCTTCCTTTTCTATGTATTTGAGTTACAGAACAAATTCAGCTTTTTCTAATGAATTAAATTTTCTATATTGAGAAAATATAAAGTGTGACAAATACTGTGTCTACTCTTCAGTCAAATGGTGACCTTAAGGTGACAGTGTTAGTCATTTCACTACTTGAAAGCAATAGAAAAACTTCTCAAATGCTTACTTAAGTAGTATTCAAAGTAAACATAATAATCTGTAATTATTATTGCCCTTACAATAGAAATGTTGACCTTCCTTGACATGCAGCGGACCAAAGTATATTTAGTAGGTATTTAGCAGTGCTGTTGGATGTGGAGTAATGTGGGCAAGCTCCCTGGCATATCTTCTAATCTGGAATATCCAGGTTCTGTTTTAGTGGTGTCTTCTGCAGGGAACAGAAAAAGAGTTGATGAAAAATAATTGTTCAAAAAAAAAGGCATCCAGTGAAAATAATGATGCCTCTGGAGAAGGAAGTGTGAAATCATTTTTGTTCTGTAAAATTGAATATTGGAACTCATCTGCTGAACTTTCCACACATTGATTTTATGTGAAAAAATAACTGTAATGTAATTTCTAAGAATGCAGAAATGTCTGCATTCTTAGCTTTCTTGTTTTTTTTTTCAATTTGATGTACTCACATGTGACTGATATTGTTCTGTTTAATAGGAAATGGAAATTGTAAGGATACAAAAGGACTAGAAATAACTATAAAGAAGCGTCTTGATGATGAACTTGTATCAAAGCTTCCCATGCCTTACCTGGTCAACAGATCTCATATTTACTTGGTGAAAGCTGCACAGCCAGTTCAAACAGACTTAAACCAGTGGTCTCTTAGTCTGAATTGGACATCGACAGATGCATCCTTGGAGGTCGTGGATGGGATAAGTGGAAAAACCACTGAAAGGTTAGGATTTCTCTTTGTGTCGTTGGAAATCATGGTTAGCCTAATTGTTCTGTACTGGTTCATTGGTGTATTCAGTTTTTAAGCTATGCATGGAGGCCACAGCATGAGAGACGTTCTCTCCTGTGTTGACCGAATTCATCCTATGATTTAGATGCAGTTTTAGAGCTCTTGTAACTCCACAGTGGGATACCAAGATACGAAACAAAACAGTTCTTTGAAGGGAGATATTTCCAGTCTGTTATCTCTTGTAGTGCATGTATTAGTTTTCACAGTACATCAGTTAGCATCCTAGTTGAGACGAATTCCAGTTCTGTACTATTCACAAAGTGTTAAGAGGGAGAAAAAAACCCTGTGATGATCAGAGCAACCTCCCCGTAATGATTTTGTTGCTGAGTTTGATTGTTCCTCTCTCACCGTGGCCGTAGCTCCCCGTTCCAGAGCGGCACCTGCATGGCCAGCCGCCTTTGCAAGGCAGCCATGTTCAGTCGGTTCAGGCTGCTCTGCAAGGAAGCAGGACGGAGTGATTTGCTTCAGATGGCAACATACCACGAAGCCAAGGTGAGCTGCTGCGGGGAGGGGGAGTTGGGCTGAGTCGTCTCTTAGTGTCTGCTCTCAAAGCTGGCGTGATGACCGCGGCTGACTTTCTGTTTAGCTGACAACTTCACCTGAACAGCTTGTAAACAATCTGTATCTTTTTTTCCTCCTGTCAAAACATGCAAGAGACCGTTTTTTTAAATGATTCAAAAACTACTTCAAAAAGAAATCGCTTGCTAGTTGAGTCTTGATGTGTTTAGATTTGCATTGAATGATGGTGAATGTTTATTTTTCTGTATAAAGATAATACTGGAATGGAAAAGACACTGAAAAAAAAGAAGTTTATCGGAACAATTTTCTCATCCCAGTAAATGCCCAAAAATATGAAAGGGGTATGTTTTTAGAGTCTAAAACTTCCTCTCATTGTCAGCATTTGAGGGAATTGTAAGATCTGTAGTTACTGTTTTCTACAGCGTTTGTGCTTGTGCATATTATGTGCTGATGGTAAAGAACACAGGTCTCTGTGACCGTCATCTCTGTAACCATCATTCTTGAGATTTTTTTCAGGGTCTTCCTTTTTCTTGTTTTAGGTTGAATCTCAATTGTACCAAGAAGCTAAAAGCTTGCTGCAGAGCTACTTAGAGCAGCACAGCTATGGATCCTGGATTGTGAAGTCTCCACATATTGAACAGTTCAGTAACTGACTGTGAGGTGGACTGTGTGTGAAGTCAGTTCGGATGATCTATTTCAGTGAAGTAATAGCTCTGATTAGTAAAATGTTTAATTGTAAGTTTGTATTTAGAGGAAGAAAAGAATTCCAGAACTGCTTCTCTTCAGTTTAAATGCAGTTGTTAAATCGCCTGTAACAGTTCAGTCTTTTCCAAAAGTTGATGTTTTCTCACAGATAGGAGTATCCAACGACTTTGTAAATCTGTTTTGCTTTGCTCCCCAATGCCACCTGATTTCAGCCCCCTCACCCCTGCCCAGTGTCACACACTTTCACCTTATGGAGTTACTAACATGTTTTTTTCTTGATGATTTCAGGATTTCTGTATCCTGATTTCTTCTTTTTCCCTGCCTTTTTCATATATTTCTTTTAAGAAAGAAAAAAGATCAGTAAAAGCTGTATTTCTTAGGGAAAAAGCATACCAACGAGAGAATCTTTCTCAGCAACAAAAATGAGCAATCTGTGCCTTATCTGTGGGCATCCATCCTTTGCTAGTTCTTTTATGAGTTTTTTGTTTAGTGTGGATTTGCCAAGTGGCTTGTTGTTTACTGTGTATTGTTTGTGGTAGAAGGGTTAAAAAGTAATCTGTGTACTTCCAATGAACTTCAAATTACCAGCTGTTAATCATCTCTTAAGCGACAATCACTGGTTTTGGTAGCGGATTTAAAGTGTTCTACAGGTGTCAAAGCTGTAAATAAGAAAATAATGCGATGTGGTACAGAAGTCACCTGAAACAAGGCTCCTTCAGCCTTTGTGGGCTGCCCCAGAACCCATCAATGTTAGTGCTTGTGGACGAGCTGGACTCCTCCACTCTCAGATGACTTCATCACTGTGCTGACGAGTCCTCAAAAAATTGTCTGCATACATAATGATCTGAAAAATGATGCCTGTCAAGGGGGAAGTTGCTTCCTTGTGAATTCTGGTAAGAATATAGTAGCATTGGTATGAAGTTGAAAAGGATGTTAAATGCCATACTTGGGTTTTGTGTGGTGGTGTGAAATACTAGTGTGTTTAAGCTAGATAATACATTTTGATTATGTTACTTGACTTCTGTGCATCATCCAAGTGTGGAAAGCTGTTATGTAGTGTTCTTTTACATGAATATTAGTGCTGTTGTCAAGTTTCAGCTTCTTGTTTTTAAAGGACTGTAAACAAACTCCTCTTTCTAGTATTTTTTTCTCCTTAGTCTGTTTTTGTAACTAGTATGTGGAGTCGCTTCTGGGAATGATCTTATGCTGACTTTCAAGTTGTTGAAACTCACTGACTTGTTACTACTTGGTTAATTTGGGAGGTTGTGTGATGCTGTTTTGTTTTTTTGGTGGCACTTGGCTCCACGTGCTATTTGCTCCATGTAATGTTTTCTTTCTAAGAATGCCGGAGAATGGCCATCATATTCCATGCTAGAGTGGAGTGTTGCCTTTTTCCAGGGGTGTTAAAAGCTCAATAAATTTCCTTGACAATGTTTTAACTATATCTGCGTACTTATACATGTAGAATCTGACATACATGTAACATACCACTTGTGGGTTAGTGTTTTATACACTTCTGGACTGGTTTTCCATATGGGCTTAGACTTTTGCTGATATATCAGCAGCAAGCTCTTTCCTGTAGTTAACTTGGAAGCCTTAATTATGTACAAGTACTGAGTTTTTTTTGTGTACTTCAGCCATTTGGTTGAATGAACAGCAAACTGGGACTTCCATGGAACTCAGGTGCTGCCTTAGGAAGAGAGAGGCTTGTGAAAACAATATGTTGAGCTGGGCATGACAGCTGTATCCTTGAGGAATGAGTTCATGATACCAGCATGGATCCAGTTCTTGTATCTGGATCATTCTTTGATTAAGTAATGGCATATGCAGAATGCACTGAGCCAGTGAATAGAAGCATGTAGGTCTTGTATCCAGGTTTTTCCTCAGCTACTTCAGCAATTCCAAAGTGTGTGATCCTGCAAGCTTGAGATAGAGGCAGGAGTGCTGCAGTTCTGGTAATGAGTCTGAGGATGGATTCCTGGTGGGTATGTGCACACAGAGCAGGTGTGCATTACACAAATGGCACTGACACAGGTCTGTGAGCATGAACAGCCCCGGCATCCGCTGGGGCTGAGCTCAGCCTCTCCCTGCCTGAGAAGAACTGAGGTCCAGGGGTGACAGCACGTGCACACGTGTGTATGGGGAAGGGTGGGGTGGTGGTGGGCACTTGTATGTCCTTTCTATATGTATACATGCATACAGACACACCTGCTGCACCTGTACACGGCTGTACACGACTCATACATGTTAAGTGACACACCTTGTCATGGTTTAGGAACGCTGCTCTCCAATTCACTGCCCCCACCGAGATTCCAAACCACACCCTGCTCTCTCTCTCCCATTTTCCCCTTCCTACTGCCAGGGGGATGGAGAGGAGAATTGGAAGCACAAAAGATCATGGTTTGAGGTAAGAACTATTTGTTGGAAACAGCAATGAGGTAAGAAAAGGAACAGAAACAACACCAATGCTGATGACATTGGGTACAAGAAAACAAATTATTCACATGGGAAAAAAAACATGCTAATAGGTAACACTGGACAGTTCCCTCTGCCATGTTTTCCTGACTGGAGGGAACCCCTTCTCTCTGGAAGAGAGTCCCCTTTTCCCCTGCTCTTGGGAATGTGAAGTGGTATAAAATAACCAAACTCTGTGTCGTAGCCATGTCCCCTCTTGGCTACTGCGAAAGTTAACCCTGTCCTGGCCACGGTCAGGGCACACAGCAGGTCTGACATACATGTAGCATAGCTCTAACATGCCATACTTGCCGAATCTGACGTCTTTGGCAAATCTGGCATGTCACATAGGTCACAGAGATCTTGTCACAGCTCATGTCACATCGTGTCATGTCACATAGGTGTCACGTGTGTAATGTCACGCCACATCTCAGATGCATGTCATGTAAGTGTCACGTAGATGTCATGCCCCATGTATGTCACATGCCACATACGTGACACCTTTCATGTCACGTGCATGTCATACATTTTCATGTGATGCTAGAGTTGTGCAGTCAAGCAGGAGGAAAAAAGCTCAGGAAACCAATTGTTGTAAGTATTTTAAGGGGTTCTGCTGAGTTTTTTTTTTACAACTTCCAGGGAAAAGGTATGTGTACTAAAGTTCACCTTATTAGGCATTTTCAGATGCTTTTAATATAACATCCTTTTTCTCTAAAGACATCTTTTACAGTTTGGGCAATACATGAGCTGATCACGGAAATACTATTAAAGTATGTGAACCTGCCTCTAATTTAGGTGTAAATTTGACAGACAAAAGCAACTACAACCATGTGTCTCACAAGCATCTTCCTCACACCTCAGCTGTATATATCAGCAGTGATGTCTTGAAGCACTTGTTGGAGTTGCTACCTGGGGAGCAAGCCAACCTGAAAATGTCTTGAAAATTCACAGCAGAGTGTGGCTACTGAGCAAAAGTGATGTGTCAGTCCCCAAAACTAGGGTCAGGACAGCCAAAGCCTCCCCTTTCCATGACTGTAAATCTGCAGCTATCACAAATATAGTAGCCCAACTCCAAAGTTCATGCAAACCAAATGCCAAAATGTATATATTTTCAGTATATTGTTGAACTACAGTTCTGTTTCCATTCTCTCTCTAATACTGAACGATAGAGTGCAAGTCAGCACCCCTTGGATCAGCTTCCCACTAAATCTTTCAGGCACAGACCTGATGGGGGGCTAGTGGTTGTGTTCAAGGGAGTGTCTGGATTTGACTCTGCAGGTTAGTGCCAGTGCTAGGCAATCTCAGCCTCACTCAGTTTTGTTGTTGAGGTCACTTAGGTGTGGGATGTCTTCCAAGGTTCTGCACACTGAACTCCACAGGTGGCAGTGATAGCTAGAATTCAGTAGCATTCATGCAGTTCGTATTCATGCAATATTTACATTCTTACAGATGTTTTGAAGACTAATTTCTGTTTATTTCATAGGCTCAGTACTTATAGTCTCACTTTGTTTAAAGATTTCGTTATTTTTGCAGTCTGCTTTTAAGAATTTATCAAGTAAGAAGGAATGTATGTAAAGGGAAGGATTGTTCTACAAAGATTGACAAGTTAGAGTTATTATGAAGACACTTCTTGTCTGTCTTCTGTATCATACTGTATTCAGGTATTTCTGTTATTCCTGTCATCTGATTTGAGAAGAGGGTGGAGCTTCTCTGTTTGTGGCTGAGGCGACTGACAGTATTTTGCGTTCCTGAGTCCCTGTGGGTGGGGACAGAGCACTCCTTCGCTGTGGGAAAAGAGAAGTAGAGCAGCAGACAGCAGTGCTGTAAGTATTTTCCCAGGTTTGGCAGAAAGCTGTCATTAACGCCTATTTTCTCTTTGCAACAGGCGAGGAAACTGATGTTCTTTCCACTGTTAGTCTGGTTTGAAGTGTAAGTACTCCATACCGCACCCACCAGGAAAACACATCAAAGACTAAACGATAGGCTGATAACTTGTAGTAGGCTTACTTTCATCGATTGTAGCCTGCCTTGTTAGCATTGAGTTGTGGCTTTTGCCTTGTAAAATGTGCTCTTACTTGTTTCTTTCTGCATAAAAATACAATGTCACGTAACTGACTGCATCTGCGTTTTAAGTAAGCACATTTCTGAGTTTCCACAGAAAGGTTTCTGACAATACCTAAGGCAGTACGCGTTCACATGGAGTTATACTTTGGTCATCAATTTTACATCAGTTGTAACTGGAAAGAATTGGGTATATAAGTGTTCTGGGACCTCAGTTACCTGCATAGTTATTTCAGTTGTTTTACTGTTTTTGTAATGTTTCCCTGTCTCTGAAGATTTTTGAGAAGTACGTGTTTTGCTTACGCCAGTGAGAAAAACGTGTCCTGCAGAAAGCTTGTGTAGCTGAGGAGTACGGCTCACAGAAAACAGGGGTTTGGTGTTTTTTGGGGGGAAAGCAACTTGATACTGTTACTTCTACACTTTGTGCTGGTATGCCAGCATAAACTGGTATTTTCTGTTGCTTTAAAAAGGATATCTGCAGGTCTCTTGCTTTGAGTTTGGTACCTGTACACTTGATACGCTGCTAAATGCTTCTTTGGGTTTTTTTAGTCTGTTTTAAAAAAAATAGAGTAGTAAGTCACCAGTGAAAAAAGACTGTATGGTTTAACAAAGAAGACTCAAGACATTTTTGTATGTTATTGAAATTTATTAAATATAATCCACAAGTAACTTTTAGTAGTTTTTTCAATAAATAGTTGCTTCTCAGTTTATTGACAAGTTTTCCAAAGGACATTTTGAGCCCGTAGGGCTTACAGAAAGGATCAAGCACGGTCTTAGAACAGACTGTCTTATCATCCACACTAAGAACATACAGTGGTCCCAAAATGGACAGCAAGCCAGTTGTATGCCCCAGGGCAAAATATATAAATTAGTCATAATTAAATATTCAAATAAATAATGTAGCAGTAAAAATAAAAATGGTTATAAGATTCCTTTTAGCATAGATTGCAGAACGGTGAGCAGTTCTTGGTGAAATACAGGAAACTTTGTCTTGTCATGAGCTTCACACTTCTTGCATCCAGTTCCTGAGGAAGTATTTGCCTGCAATACAAATATTTTTGTTTGTTGGTGCTAACTCTTGCTAGCTGATTTTAACTATAATGCATCAACTTAAGACTGTTGCCTACCTCAAGACACTTGAGATTCTTTTGGATATTTTGAAGATGTATACGGTTCTGGCCTTCAGTTTCCTTTTCCAGGAGTGTCAGTTCTCTCTGGTAACAGCGTAGAGTTGTCTGGCCACACTCCTAAAACAGTCAGCAAAACTGTTATGTGTGGAACTATTGCCATTTGAAAAATCCCAATTACCCATTATTTTTTTTCCTCATGCCAGGAAATGAGTTGTTTGTTTTCTACAACATGTAGTTCCTTTGTTCCCCTTAAAGTTATGAGATGTTACATGTGGCCTTAGTTCTGTGGTAGATTGTTGTAGCTCTGGAAAAGTGAGTAATCCTTACAGGACACTTTAGGAGTTGGAATATCTCTTGGGAACACAAAGCTATAATATTTGTTCCTAAACTGAGTTTCACTCCTGGTTGTCATCTGGAAATCTTATCTTAGCAAACAGGTGGCCTTTCTTAGAGGCATTTCCAATTAGTGCACTTTGGTTGCTCTAATATCTGCATCAGACCTGGCTTTTGAACAGGGTAAGCAACTCTACACATCACTTTTAAAGCTATTTCAGGCACTCAGTGACAGTATATTAGTAATCAACCTCAAACATTTGCATTGAAGCACTGGAGCTCTGAGATAGTTATGTCATGTTGCCAGTTCTCTCATGTTGCCAGCATGAGAGAAAAGAGAAAAGTGATGCAGATAAGGAAGTGGTTGCAGGATTTGACTTCAGATCTCTACTGAAACAAAATTGCTGTTAAGTGAGAATTTTTCTGAATCAAAAACTTATCTGGAGGTTCAAAGTAGTTAACAG